CTATACTATTTCGTGGGGAGTGCAAGTTCTTTCTTTCTTTTTTTTAGGGGGGAAAGATCAACCCTGAGCTAACATCTGCTGCCAATCCTCCTCTTTTTGCTGAGGAAGACTGGCCCTGAGCTAACATCCAAGCCCATATTCCTGTACTTTATATGTGGGACACCTACCACAGCATGGCTTGCCAAGCGGTGCCACGTCCACACCCGGGCCGCCGAAGCGGAACGTGCGCACTTAACTGCTGTGCCACCAAGCCGGCCCCAAGTGCAAGTTCTTCATAACAGAATATTCCCAATTCCTACTTCCTGTCCCTTTTAACATTGCTGTCATTCATTTCACTTATCCATTCGGTGCTTATAGCACCATATACATTGTTGTTATTATTATTTTATATAAATTGCTATGTGTTGAACAGTTAAGTAAAAGAAAAAGATTTTTTTTTTACCTTCATTTATTCCTTCTCTAATGCTTTTTCTTTCTTTATGTAGATCTGAGTTTCTGATCTATATCATTTTCTTTCTGAAGAAGAATTTCTTTGAACACATCTTGCAAAGCGGGCCTACCAGGGACAAATTTCCTCAATTTTTGTTTGTCTGAGAAAAATATTTATTTCTCCTTCACTTTCAATGGATGCAGAATTCTACGTTGGTGGGCATTTTTTTTTTTCAGTGCTTTAACTATTTTATTCTGCTCTCTTTTTGCTTGCGTGATTTCTGAAGAGAAGTCTGATGTAATTCTTACCCTTGCTCTTCTATAGGGAAAGTTTTTCTTTCTCTGGCTTCTTTCAAGATTTTGTCTTTGTCTTTGAATTTCCGCGGTTTGCGTATGATGTGCCCAGGTGTAGATTCGGTGGTATTTATCCTCCTTGGTGTTCTCTGAGCTTCCCGGATCTATGTTTTGGTGTCTCCCATTAATCTTGGAAAATTCTCAGCTACTGTTACTTCAAATATCTCTTCTGCTCCTTTCTCTCTTTCTTCTCCTTCTGGTATTCCCATTATGCCTATGCTACAACTTTTGTGATTGCCCTATAGTCCTTGGATGGTCTATTGCATTTTTAAAAATTCTGTTTTCTCTTTGCATTGCGGTTTTGCAAATTTCTATCCATGTTTCACAAGCTCATTGATTTTTTTCTTGGCTGTGTCCAGTCTCTTGAGGGGTCCATTGAAGGTATTCTTCATTTCCGTCACCGTGTTTTTGATTTCTAGCATTTCTCTTTGATTCTTTGTTAGAGTTTCCATTTCTCTGCTTATGTTACCTATGTGTTCGTTCATGTTGTCTACTTTTTCCATTACGATCCTTAACATATTCATCACAGTTGTTTTAAATTCCTGGTCTGATTATTCCAACTTCTGTACTGAATCTGTCTCTTCCAATTGTGTTTTTTGTCTTGTAGGCCGCTTTTTAATTTTTTTTGTTGAAAGCGGGACATGATGCACTGGGTAAAAAGAACTGAGTCCAATAGGCCTTTAGCATGAGGTTTTATATTTATCTGACTAGGAGTTAGGCTTCGTTTACTGTTTGCCGCAGCTGTAAGTGTTAGAGGCTAAAATTTCCTCTGGTCTCCTTGTTTTTTTCTCCCCTATTGTCTTTGGATTTTCCTAGAGACTTCTTTCAAAACAAGGTCTGAGACACACCATTCTTTTAGTTGTATTCCCTTGTTGTATAGGGGAGCCTTCTTGATGTGATGGTAGGGGATGGGGGGGGAGCTTTCTATAATCTTACTATTAGGTCTCAGTCTTTTAGCAAGCCTGTGCCTGTGGGCCATGGCCTTCAGAAATGTTTCTCAGTGTTTCCCCACATAGGGGAGACAGGAAGGTTAGAAGGGGCAGGAGTTGGGTGTTTCCCCTCCCCCACATGGAAGACCAGCACTTGCTGGAGTCAGGTATTTCCCTTCCTCTGGCTTGGTTAGGCTCTCATAAAAGAAATTCTTTTCTTTTCTTTTTTTCAAGATTGGCACCTGAGCTAACATCTGTTGCCAATCTTTGTTTTTTTTCTTCTTCATCCCAAAGCCCCCCACTACATCGTTGTGTATTGTAGTTGTAGGTCCTTCTAGTTGTGGCATGTGGGATGCCGCCTCAGCAGGGTCTGTCGAGCGGTGCCATGTCTGCACCCAGGATCCAAACTGTGAAACCCTGGGCCGCCAAAGCAGAGTGCACAAACTTAACCACTGGGCCACAGGGCCAGTCCCAAATAGTTTCTTCTGAGAGCAGACTCTATTAAGAACAACAGAGCACTCTGGATGTATTTAAAAGTGGTTGCTTTCCCCCTTCTCCTGCCAGAAGCATGAGGGTTTTTTTTTCTTTGCTTTTCACTGTTAGAACCTGGTAGGGCTCCTGGAGTTAAAACTCACAAAAGTGCAGGGACTTCTGAAGCCCGTGCCCCACTGGAGTTTTGAAATCTCAGACTTGTTCTCACTGAGCCTCTAACCATTCATCAGTTCTGGTTTGCCTTCCTGCCTGGCACTGGCTCCAGGGGGCTTCTGCTCCAGTAAGCTGGGATTCCCTGTACCTGCCGTCTGTCTCTCCAACTTTGGGCGCAGCGGTTTGCCCTAAGACCTCAATTCTCTGATGAATCTAAAGCCAATTGTTGATTTTCACTTGTTTCTTATTGTGATGATGGAGTGGTGACTTCCAATGTTGGACCAGAAACTGGAAATCCAGCTAACTTTATTTTAAAAGACGATTTAAATACAGTCACACATTGCTTAAAGAAGGGGATACGTTCTGAGAAATGCATCATTAGGCAATTTTGTCATTGTGCAAACATCATAGATTGTACTGAAGGTGAACAAAATTTGCCACCCCAAAACATGCCTGTTTAATGTGAGGATTATTTAGGTTGATTATTTTTAAGAAATAAAAGGCTCAGAAAATTTTTCTGGTTACTTCCCCATGACTGCCTAAAAGAATTCAGATAAAAAAACCTGTCTCGAGGAGTGAGCTATCACCTTAGCATAACATACACTATGTGGTGGATAGGGAGGAACCTAGAAAAGCTGTTTGTTGGGCTCCCCTCTCTGTTCTGTTTCTGTGTGGCCAAACACTTGTTTTCCAAACATTTGCTCCTTTTCTCCTACCTGTGGACCCGCCTTCCTTCCCTTTGCAGTCCCTGACTCTCCCCACCCCCAACATCTTCTTTTGTCTTTAGCTGAGGATGTTATTTGAGGGGAGGGCTTTGGCTATTTTGGCAAGTTACTCATTTTTCCTGGGTTTCTCCCATGCATATGTGTCATTGAACTATTATTTGTTTTTCCCCTGTTAATCTGTCTCTTGTCAACTTAATTCTTAGACTAGCCAGAAAAACCTAAAAGGATACAGGAAAATTTCTTCCTCTCCCACAGTACTTATACAAACCCAGATGGTACAGCCTACTACACAGCTAGGCTATATGGTACTAATCTTATGGGGCCACCATCATACATGCGGTCCATTGTCCAGCGAAACATTGTGATGCGGCAAATGACTATACTGCAAATGGAAAATCAGTGTCACCTGACACAAACAGAAGGTAGCTGTCAAAATGAATACAATGAAGGGGCCGGCCTGGTGGTGTAGTGGTTAAGTTTGCGCACTCTGCTTTGGCGGCCCGGGGTTCGCAGGTTCAGATCTTGGGTGTGGACCTAACATCACTTGTCAAGTCATGCTGTGGCAGCATCTCACATAAAATAGAGGAAGATTGGCACACACATTGGCTCAGGGGCAATCTTCCCCAAGCCAAAAAAAAAAAAAAGTGAATACAATGGAAAGAAAATGATGCTGTTAAATTATCTTTGTTTAGATGGGAGATGAGCAAGTGTCAGAGAGATGCTAGAGACCAGGTAACCTCACATAGAGACTTTCTCTTTGATGCTTTCTCTCACAGGATGGCTTAGGAGGCTGCTGAGTGACTGACTCAGGGGAGGGGAGGGGAGAAACGGAGAGGGCTAGGTTGTCCATGGCCTGGGGGAGCTGCTCGAGCAGCCTTCGACCACCGCCCTCAGGATGCCTCTGACCTGAGGACGGCCACACCTTGGTTTGCACAGTCTGCTGTCTAGGTGGACTTTCCTGTTGCTCACTGCTGAACTCAATCTCAACTGACTTCTCTCATTCATCTGGAGAAGTAGTCAGCAGTTTTAAACACTCACATCAAAATAAGATATAAGAAATCGAATGGTCTCCAAAAAAATAAACCATATGCTTTTGCATTAATACAATTTCCATGTCACTCGGATATCTATAAACAGTTTGGTGGGGGTACATAAAAATGTATTCATGGGGGGCCGGCCCGGTGGAGCAGCGGTTAAGTTCGCACGTTCCGATTCTCGGCGGCCCGGGGTTCGCTGGTTCGGATCCCGGGTGCGGACATGGCACTGCTTGGCAAGCCATGCTGTGGTAGGCATCCCACATGTAAAGTGGAGGAAGATGGGCACGGATGTTAGCTCAGGGCCAGGCTTCCTCGGCAAAAAGAGGAGGACTGGCAGTAGTTAGCTGAGGGCTAATCTTCCTCAAAAAAAAAAAAAAGAAGTGTATTCATGAAATCGAGTTCACCAGGTGTATCATCTGCCCCGTTCCTCCTGTGCCCTCCACGGGGGACGCTGTTGGTGAGGAGGCTGTCAGTCCGCCCACTGGTTGTCATGAGGCTCATTCTGTGTGTCAGCTGTCCTTTGGCTCACCAGCAGGGACACGGGGATGTGGGAAGTACGAGGCATCTGGCTGCATTTGGAATTCTGTGAGGTCCAGGATGTCGTCGCTGGAGCTGGAGCGTAGGGTCTTCGGGCAGGCCCCGCCTCCGCACAGACCCACTGTTGGCATGCACTGCCTTCACTCCCAATCGGCTCTGGGGACTTGCTCAGCTGTCACCTCCTGAAGGAAGCCCTCCTGGGCTTCTCCTGGGCTCTCAGGCCAGAACTGGCAAGGAGCCCGGCACAGCGGGGTGCTGACTGATGTCTCCGCCCAGATCTCACATGCCCAGCGTGGGGAGACAGCACAGGGCCACCGTTAAAGAGAACCAGAGCCAGACGATTATTAAAGTGGCTAAAGCAGATTTTATTTAAGATCTAATGCAATAGGGGAAAAGAGACCTCAGAATAGAACTGGACTCAATTCCACATACGGCAAGGACGAGTGCGGATTCACAGCCAAGGAGCAGGTGGGAGGAAGTCAGCGGATGGAAAATCACTAAGAGAAACATCAGGGGTAGGGTTTGGGGGACTCTGGTTAAACAGACCCGACTGGATTCTTGCTGAAGGCAGGCCAGGGTGACCAGAACTCTCCTGGGGGTGGCGTGGGGAGACTTCGATCAGATATGGAGGGTGATCAAATATCGAGGGTGGAGATTCTGGCTAAACCGACTTGATGGGATTTTTGCTAAAACTGGGTGATGCAAAGGCAGACATGGAAGCCAAAAAATCAAGGCCTAATTGAGATGAGGTTCAGATAACAAGTTGGGTCAAGGAGGGAGTCTTTCTCATCCCTCGTGCCTCATCTGTCTGCAGGCCAGACCCCACTCCTGCCTGTTTCTTTCTGCTTGTCATCTCTGCTCCTCCTGTCCGCCCTTTCCCCTAGGCTGCCCTGCACTGCCAGGCAGGAGGCAAGGATGGACTCAGGGCCTGGGCAGACGCAGAAATCCGAGGGAGAGACTGGGGCAGGGAGAGGCTCTCTCTGGAAGAATGACAGACAGTCCTTCATAACGGTGTCAAGGATCACAGAACCGGGGGATGTCCCCAAAGTGATCAGATTTTCCTCAGACAGAAATTCCCATCTCTGCAGCTTAACTCTGTCACTTTGTGCTATGAACTGAATGTCTGTGTCCCCTCAAACTCCTCTGTTGAAACCTAGCCCCAGTGTGATGGCATTAGGAGGTGGGGCCTTTGGGAGGTGGTTCGGTCATGAGAATGGAGCCCTCATGAATGGGATTAGCGCCCTTATGAGAGGGACCCCAGAGATCTCCTCGCCCTTTCTACTGTATAAGGACACACCAAGAAGGCACCAGGTACGAACTCACCAGACAATGGATCTGCCAACGCCTCAATCTTGGACTTCCCAACCTCTAGAACTGTGAGAAAGAAATGCTTGTTGTTTAAGCGAAGCATTTGGTGTCTTTGTGACAGCAGCCCAAATGGACTAAGACACTGTCACCTTCAAGCCTTGTCAGTTTCCATCTGGGTTACCTCAACAGCCTTTGGACAGCTTCTTGCTGCCCACCTGAACCCCTGCCATGCACCCCCCTACCCCCACCTCCACCTCCATCCATCCATCTTGGCAAATCATGACCCACGTGCTTGATGCCTTTGGTGGCTGCTTGCTGCCACGGGCCCTCCACTGAGATGTGAGGCTCCAGCCCCAAGATGACTCCAGACCCCTAGTCTTGCCCCAAGCTCCCCACTTCCAGGCCCCTGCTCCGGCCAGGTCTCCCCTGCCCCACTGTGTCCCAGGCTCTAGCTGTCCTTCAGGCGTGGAGGAAATGCCACCTGTCCCACTTCTGCTTCCCTCAGTTCCTGGCTCTCAGGGTGCACCTCACAGTTGGGACTTTGGGACCTGCCCTCCTCCAGCCCCGGAGGCCCCGAGTCCCTCACTGCTGTCCCCCCCCCAGGCAGCATGGGGCGGGAGGAGCTCAAACCCAGGCGAGCCCTTGTGTCTGGGAGGGGCTGCTGCTCCCCTCTGCCCAGCCCACCTTGGGAGCCCCTTCCGAGCGCCCTCGAGGGAAAAAGCTGCTGACTAACAGGTCAGTCGCTGGCTGGGCTGAGTGGCGATGTCCAGTTTGGGTGTTTTTCTTGTTCTTGTTGCCTCCTGCTCTCTCAGCGTGCACAGGCCTGGGCAGGCCTTGCTCCGGGACACACTACCAGTCACCTCTCTCCTCTTGGCTCATAAGCAGCTGGGTGGAGGGTGGACCAGCTGCTGACACAGGCTCACTCGCCTTCTCTCTCTCCCAGGGCTGCCTCATGTTGGCAGAGGCCTCGAGTGGGACTGGGTCCCTTCCTCTGACGTTCCTCGTGTTTCTGGCCCATCGGCTGTCCCTCGCAGAGGCAGGACTTGATCACAGATAGATCCCAGCCCAGAACATCAAAAAATGGCATCAAATCCCGCCGACTCCCGATCATCCATAGCATGGAACACCGGCACCTTTGCGTTTACCCTTGTTATCAAAGGGCTCTCTGCCACTGACAGGCACGACGGTAATTTTGAGTTCTGAGAGCCCGCGTGGTACGCGGCCCTGAATGGCATCTCCCTGTGGGTGGGGCTGGTGCCTCAGCTGAGCCTGCCCTGTCACAGGCACACAGGCAGTCCTGGGAATGCAGGGAGCCCTGGCGGCCTGCTCCATTTTGCTCTTGCCTGTCCCCACCCCTGCTAACCTCTCCCCGACCAGAGCCCTGGGATCGCCCATCAGCTTTCATGCCTCGATCCGCAGCCCTTCTGCCCCCTATCGGGTTCTCACACCCCTCTACACACGAGTCTTAGGGCCTGGTGGGCCGCGGGACCCCATGGGAAGGCCTCCATCTCCCTGGCCCTCCCTGCTGATTAGACAGCAGGGCCTGAGCTCCGCAGGAACCCCTGGAGTGAGCACGGGGCCCAGCACTCGATGGGTGTGAGAGGCACATGCTGCGTGGGAACGAGTGAGCACACACCCCGATCAAGAATCCCCGATGAGAACAGAGGAAAAGCAGGGATCAGGCTGCTGGCCACGGAGGGAGTGAGGGATGTTGCTGAGGACCTGAGAACCCCCGGGAAAGGGCAGCCAGGGAGGGCCAGCGGCCAGGCCTTGGCAGGACTGTGAGATTCACGAGACCCAAGCAGTCAAGCACACGGCACTTTCTGGAACATGGCTGCAGGATGGAGTAAAGGGGAGGGATAGAGGGAGAGTCAAGGCTGAACCAGGCTCCCCTGCTCTCCAGCACCGCGTGAAGGGAGGCCCACCCGTCAGGGGCCACGCCCACAGGTGCCTGGGGCAGCCAGCCCTGACCCTGGGAGCTCTGCACTTAGGTGGCTGGAAGGGTCAATGCCAGCTGACTTTAGGACTTGAGAGCCCCAGGCGTGGCCCATTTGGGACCACCTAGCACTACCCCGAGTAGGCACAAAGGCAACGTCGGGCCCAGGGGAGGGTCATCTGCAGAGGCTCAGCCAGTCTGAGGCCGTTGGCAAGGCCCACACTCAAGCATGCAACCCGGGTCCGATGGAGAGCAGACCCGGAAGGAACGGGGTCAGGTGGGGTCACAAAAGCGGGGAATCATATGTATTTGATGTAAAATAAACACAGATATGGGGCTCCTAGCAAGCGGCTTGGGTTTCATTCTCACAGAACAGTGTGTGGTCTACCTGAGTGCATCTTGCTCCTGAAGTCACAGTTGTGGGACAGGGGAGGGGACACCTTGTGTGGTGAGGTCAAGCCTCACACTGACCTGGGAGACACTGAACTGGGTAGACCGTGGGGCCTCTGCATGCCTGTATCACTCAGTGACCTGGGCGGGATGAGGTTTGGGGACTCTTCCTGTCACAGGGTCAGAGGAAAGACAGGCTCCCAGGGGCCGTGGGAAGGAGACCCTTCGAGAGGGGAGGAAACCAAGGGGCCAACGGGCAGCAGCTCTCTGCTTGGCCTCTGGAGGACTGCGGTCAGCTGAGGGGGAGATTTGGGCAGAGACAACCTCATGGAGGGCAGGGCCTGTTGAGCAGCGAGCCTGGTGCCTTCGAAAACCTCTGCAGAGAAGAGAGGGGAAGAAACCGGGTCCTGGGTTAGGTATCAGGTGGGGACAGGCCAAGAGGAGATCTGAGGAGATGCTGGGGTGACGTGGGGTCCCTGTCTGACAAGGTGGAAGGTTCTAAGGCAGGGATGGAGTTGGTGGTTCCCTGTCCCCACCTGGCTCCCCCAATTGTTGTCTACCTGGCTCTAGGCTCCGGCTGTGACCACATCCCCTGGGCTCCCTTGGCCTCCAGATTAGGAGGAGGATTGGCCAGTGGACAGTGCTGACAGGATGGGGTGGGGGAGAGTGGCGGGGTAGTCACACTCCTCCCCCACAATCACAGCTCCCACCGGGTGACCCCATCTCCACTCCTCCAGCCCTCTCCATCCCTGCCCCACCCCTTCAGGCCCAGGGGCTAGTCTCTGGTGCCCCCACTCCTGGTACTGGCCTTCACCTGGCCTCCTCTTGTTAGTTACCCTACATTCAGATCCTCTTACTGGAACCACTTTGGGGGAAAGGGTAGAGAACTGTCTAAGATACCGTCTGAGGCTCCAAATCGTAGAGACTCAAAGGACCAGACAGGAGGCGCCATTCAGAAGTGGGCATTAAAGGGAGAGGCACAGTCCAGCCTCATCCACAGGGGCTGGTCACTTCGCAGCCCCTGTGACCGGCGCCCTGCACACCACGGGCTCCGTGTTGCCAGATCTTCTGATTTTTCAAATCTTTTTACAAGAGACTCTCAATTTGTAAGTGTTAGTCATTAATTTTAAACCGTTTTTAAAACACCAGGAACCAAACACAATCATCGAGATGTTGGAGTTGGCAGGTGGCTGGCGCTTTGGGCTGGGCAAGGCTGGCTTGGGCGGGAGCTGCAGCCCTCTGCGGGTCAGAGGCGTGAGTCCTCCGTGGGCCTGAGAAGTCCACCAGGTCGGGGCTGAGGTTCCGCAGGGGAGAAGCTGTGAACCTGCCCCGGGCCCAGCCAGGGTGCTGCCTGTCTTGAGGGTCCAAGGCTGGGGACACTCCAGAAAATAGAAGAGCAATGGTATCCGTAGGGTGGGAGCTGGGGGAGGAGCGGGGGCACACCATTCCTGAGTGGGGCTGCACCCAGGCTGAAAAAGGGCGCGACCTCGGTGGCAGCAGGAGCTCACCATCAGACTCTGCTGCGTTCTCTGGGGGTGGATGCACACAGATTTGGGGGAGGGCCGCAGGTGGCCCCTGAGCCCACTGACCTCACCTTCTCACAGCTCCGACAGCGACCACCTATGGCTTCTGCCTTCCCTTCCCAGAGGCGGGCCCTCCCCACGTCCTGATCCCGTCCCTCCCGGGGATCCGCGCTCCTTATTGTACTCACTCAGGTACCCGGCCCACTGGCTCCTTCAGTCCTCGTCCTCCCCCATTCCGGGGTACCCTCCCCGACGCTTACCCAGCGTTGGCCCTGCCCGCACTAGTGGCCCAGGAAGCAGGGCCGGTGAGCTGTGGACCCCGGGCCCACTGGTTCCAGTCTGGGCGATCCATCAGCGGCCAGGGATCGCCCCACCTCGTCTGAGTCTCACAGCACGCTGGCCAGAGGGACGCCTCCACGAGACCCCGTAGGGGGTCATCGCCTCCCTCCATCGTCGTGGGGCCTGGGGAGGGTGCCGAGGGCAGGTCTGGCAGCCAGCAGCCGCTCCCTGAATCATGGTCGGATGAGAAAGGGGAGCCGGGTTTCGGGACGGGGCGCGCGCGCTCAGGGCCGCGGGACCTCGCGCACGTCTCAAGGGGCAGAGTGCGCCGGGGGTCCCCAGGGGTGGGGCCGGCGTCTCCAGGGCAGGGGGAGCTGCGGTCCCCAGGGGTGGAGCAGCAGGGTCCCTCAGGGTGGGGCCGGGGTCTCGGGGCAGGGGGCGCTGCGGCCCCCAGGGGTGGGACCGGGGTCTCGGGGCAGGGGGCACCGGGGTCCCCGGGGTCGGGGTCTCGGGTCAGAGGGCGCTGCGGTCCCCAGGCATGGGGCACTGAAGTCCCCCGGGGCGGGCCGGGGCCGAAAGCTCCCCTGCATGCGCGGAGCTTCCTTTGCCCCCACGCACGCCCCCTGCGGGAGCCGCGCTCGACCCCGCGTGACCGGAAGTGCCCCCCCGTGTGCGCGGGCGGGGCGGGGCCGGCGGCGGCACTTCCGGTGCCCACGCGCCGCCGCCGCGCAGCTCTGGGGCCGTCACTTTGTGTAGCGCGGGGCGCGCAGGCCCGACCCGGCCCGGCCCGGTGGTGGCGGCGGCGGCTCGGCTCGGCCGGCGCGCGGTGAGTGGCGGCGGCGGGCGCGCGGCGCGCGGGCGGGCGGCAGGTGCGGGCGCGGGCGCGGGCGGGGGCCGGGGCGGGCCGCCTCGACGCCGCGCGGGAGGCGGCGGGGTCGGCGGGGCCTGGGCCTCGGCCGCCCGGCGGGGCCGGAGCGGCGCTGTGGCCGGGCCTTCGGCTGCCACGCCCACGCCCGGCACGGCCGGCCCGCGACCCCCACCCCGGGCTGCGCGTGGGGGGCGGGCTCCGACCCAGGGCCGGGCCGGGCGGCAGCGCGCCGTAGGCGGGCTGGGGAGGACACGCGCGATTCGCGGGAGGTGCCCGCCGTCGTCTAGGCCCCAGGGGCGGGGGTTGGGCCGCGGCTGCCCCCGGGGACACGCCCATCCAGGAGGGGCTGTCACCGCCACGGCCTCCGTGGGAGGTGGAGGTCCGGTAAGCCCCCTGGAGAGATGGCGCCCCCAGCGAGCTTGCTTAGTGACCTCGGGGGCCTTGGCTGGGTCCTCCCCTGTCTGCAAATGGAGGCCCCAGTGGGTGCTGTGCTGTCTTCTACTGCTGGTAGGCGGGTAGAGGAACCCATCCCTGGGGTTGGATGGGGTCTGGTCTGCCCCATGTAGCCGCAGAGGTGGGAGAGGGGCTGGCCTTTGGTGCAGGACCCGGTGGGCAGAGAGAAGGGGAGGTGTGCAGGAGGATTGGGCCCTCCCTGCGTGGGGAGCCCTTGGTAGTCGGTTAGGTTCAACAAGTGTTGGCAGGCCTGGTTAGCTGGCCAGCGTAGTGAGGGGCTGCCCTTGGGGAGCTGGGATGGCACCAGGCGAAAGCCCAGGAGAGTAGCACAGCCCAGATCCACGGACACACAGTGAGGATCCTGGCAGTTAGGGAAGGAAAGCTTCCTGGAAAAGATGAAAACGTGGAAGGCTTTGAGTAGCAGGAGTGTGGTCAGTAAGGCTTCGCAGAGGGGAGGAGGGGTCTAGATACATGTGCACCCACCATTTCTCCTACTTTTCTCTGTAGGTTCCCTAGATTTGGGACTTCGGGGAGAGTTTCTAACAGTTTTCAAACTTTGCCACTTCTTTCTGTCCTTGTGGTCCTCCTCCCCGCGGAGGGCGTTTTGTCACTCCCAGTTCTAAGTATCTGTAGCACTAGGATGCAGGGTCTCAGCGGAAATCAGGGTCTGGGATGACCTGGGAGGTTTATGTTGGTGAGGCTGCTTACTTGACCCTCTGTGGCTTTTGATCTGAAATCAGATGCCAGGAAGTGAGCAAAATGAGATTCCGGTGGGCTGACAGGCTGGAAAGAGAAGAAAGGAGAGTGTGTGAGTCTGGGGGAGCGTGCCCGGCACACACCCGGCCTGGGGAGGCAGAAGGAACCTGGCGCCCAAGTTACTGCAGTCCGTTATTCAGAGCTGTTCTGTTCTGGATTCTAGGTCCAGGTATGTGAGTTGTCTGACTGTGCTGGGCCCGGATCCCATCTACAGAGTGACTCCGACCTCCACCTCTGCTGGGCCCTTCCCTCCCCTGGTCACTGGCAGGTGCATTTCTTGGGAGAGAGACTTCAGGCTGCAGCCTCTTTGGAGGCAGAGACTGGCCAGTGCTTCTTGGATGGGTTCCAGGTTGAAGGACCCTTAACAGCAGTCAGTCTGTTCTGGAATGTGACAGTGGGGCCAAAATGCTGTTTTAAAACTCTTATGTCTGTGACATTGACTGCAGACTTTAAAATCATTCTTTCAGTAAATATTTGATTGCTAACTATATGTCTGGCATGGGGAGATTCAGAGATGAGCAAAAGGAACTTCTGCCGTCCTGGAGTTGACAGTGTACTCGGGGAGACAGGCAGTAAGCAGACAATTTGATAAGTATATGAAATGTGTGGGTGCTGTAAGGGCAAGGTCCAGGAACTATGTGTAACAAGAACCCAAGGACCTGCCTCTGGAGGGTCAGTGAAGAAGGCAGGAGAGTTCCAGGGAGAAGGAATGGCACATTGCAAAGGTCCTGAGGTGGGACGAGCATGGGGCCACTTTGTTCCAAAGCCATGGAATTTCTTCTTTTGTGTGTGGGTCCTTGGAGATGGCCTCCTGGCCTGTGGGAGTCTGCTCTGGGTGGTGGCCAGGCAGGAGGCAGCAGTACTGGGCTTGGTTTGGCATCTGGGTTCAGCCTGAATGTGCAGCCTGAGGCCTGGGTGAGAAAAGCTCTCTTCTGGGCCTGAGGTGGATGGTGGTTGGGAAACCTCTGCTGAGTGTTCTCGGTGCCCTGCGTGCTGGGCAGGGCTCTGTCCTCCTGGAGGTGGGTAGGGTGACACATGGCACACGTTTCTACATCTCAGGCACCTTCACATGCCCAGAGCCGTGGAGACCAAGGAGTGGGCTCTGGGAGAGGCTCTGTGGCCCCCCCAGGCATAGTGTTGCAACCTGCACCATTGGGCTAAGTGATTCTGAATCTAGAATGGGGCTGGAGGCAGCCAGGGGGGGCGTGACGGTTGGGACAGAGGCGGCTCCTGGGCACCGATGTTTCCTAGCCCCTCGACTCGGGCCTTGTTCTCTGGGAGGAGCTACATGAATGCTCCAAGTTCACTCTATTAAAGCAGATTTTAAAGCTGCAGCTCATAGCAGTTCAGAAAATGAGTGTGCACTGCCTAATTAGTCAAAAAGCAATGAGTTATGGAGTAAGCTCAGCCCGGGGCAGTTCTCACAGGTGTCCAGTAGTCTCAGCTGTTCTCACGACCCTGGCGTCTTTGTGTGGGTGTCCGTGTCCTGCTGTAGAGGTTCTGTGGCAGACACTGTCCGCCAGTAGAGCTGGATGAGCTGGGCTGGGCCCAACTGTGCTGTGTGGCCTGATGTTTCAGGATCCTTCTGGGGTTCATGCCTTCATCCCAGATTCTGGGGTTGCTGTATGTGTAGCAGGCTTGTCTTACGTCCGAAATGACCCCATTCACGCCTGAGATACTGATGGGGCCCGTGTTGGGTGATGGACCTGTTCTTAGGTTTACACTTAAAAAAGGAGCCACTGAAACTGGCTCGTCAAAACCGTGACTCTCTCCTGCCTTTGGGACTCCACTGGGGCTGGTGAAGGATGCACAGCTGGGAGGGAGGTGTGGTCCCAGGGCCCGCAGCATCCGGCCCTCTCGGACCCATAGCCCCGGGCTCTGGGCGGTGCAGCAGCACGGCCGGGTCTCCCCTGAGCTCCTGCACTGAGCTGTCTGGGACGCTCATGTGAGAGTAGGAGCCTGTGAACTGCCGGAGCTTTGACAGTTCAGCTCTTAGGATTCTCTGGTCCCCAAACTGGAAGAGATGTCACAGGGCGCTTTACACCATAGAGCATTTCCCTGGTCTAGCGATAAGTCGCATCTCCATCATCTGCCACACTTTTTCCAGATGTCCCGGACTGAGCGAGGGTAGAGGAGATGTGGAGGGTAGTGTTTCGTCAGGCCTCTTCCCTGCCGCCTCTCACAGGAAGGAGCCTGATCTGCTGGCTGCCCAGAGCAGGCCCCCTGCGCAGGGGTGAACAGCCCTGGTCTTTACCTTTCACCTTGCCCCACCCCATTGCACTGCGCACGTGCCCGCGGCCTGCGCGTGCTTAGCTCTCTCCTACGCTCCCTGCTGGACGAGCTCATGTGTGCTGAGAACTAGGTGAGCATCTCCTCCTTTATATCAAGGGGCCTCTTCCTTGCAGGCTGTGCTCACCCCTTTCAGCTCATTGCCTGGACTCGATGCTTCTCATGGTCCTTGAGCATAAAGGTCACAGAGAGGGCCTCTTTGGGCAGCTTTTCTGGGTACAGAGTGGCTCATATGAGATCTGCCACATGAGATCACAGACAGAGCTCCGGTCCTGCCTCCGCTCTGGTGCTGTTGCTATGTGATGGGGGTACTAAACCCTGCCTCCCAGGGGGCTGGTGCGAGGCCCACGGAGGACCCCGTGTGCGCATGCTGGCGCGGCTCATCTCCGTCGCCCGTCTGTGTTCCAGGCCGAGCTGAGGCTTGCTTCCAGAGAAGATGGCAGCCCTTCACACGGCTCCAGACTCCCCAGCTGCCCTGCTGGAGAGGGCCGAGCATGGGTCGGAATGTGATCCTGATCAGGAGGAAGAGGAGGAGGAGGAGATAGCGGTGGAAGAAGCGGAGGACGAGGCTGTGGAGGAGCTGGAAGCGGAGGCGGCAGAGGGGCAGGCGGAGGTGGAGGCGGCCGAGGGTGTAGCAGAGGTGGTGGCAGAGGAGCAGAGTGAGGCGCTGGGGACCCAGGAGCACCTTGGCTGTGGTGGTCACACCAAGTCCCCAGGTCTTCAGGAAAAGGGTAAGAGAAAGGAGCTGGCCCTTGGGGGAGGTCGGAAGAGGGCAGGCTGGGAGCACTCTTTGGCCCGATAGGTTGGGGCTGGAGCTGGGACATGGAGGCCGGGTTGTGAAATGAGGGAGTAGCCAGGAGTCTTGACCTGGCTTGCTGGAGGGGCAGAAGTTGGCCAGGGCGTGAGGCCCGATCCTAAAGGCAGCTGGCCCCTGAGAGAGCTTTCTCCTCAGCCCTGCAGACCTCTCAGGTGCCAGCCACACCCGGGGACGAGGACCTGGAGGAGGACGAAGAGGAGGATGAGGAGGAGGAGGATGACGACGATGATGATTCCCTGACAGCAGGGTCTCAGGTGAGCTGCCCTCTCGGTTGGAGTTCAGTTAACTAGGCAGGGTTTTCCCGGGGAGCTTGGCACCTGCTGTCCTAGAGACCCCTGTAGGCGGGGCAGTGGCACTTGGTCCTCAGGCTGGGCCCAGGCTGTGAGCCGGAACGGGGCTGCAGGAAGTGTCTGGGCATCTCTAGCCCCAAGCCCAGGCTATGTGGTTCCACTCTCTGGGGGCCTGACCCTTCCTGAGCCACTGGAATGTCCCGATCGTGTTGACCGGCACCCACTGACCTGTACTGTGCACGGTTCCTTCAGAGGCCTGGCTCCCCGCAGTCAGGCCGTGCCCGTTCCCTGGAGGGCCTGTCCCCTGTCCAGGCTCTGGCTTCGTGATGAGCCCAGTCAGATTGGGCGCCAGTGCCCACACTCAGTTCACTTGGTGCCACTTGTCCACCCACGCATGGATCCTCACGCTGCTGATGTGACCACTGGCTTGAGCCAGACAGTGATGTAGGAGTGTGTTAGGTGGCCACGCAGCATGGCCGTGGGCGCTGGGGCTTCCTTGTCTCCTGACCCCTGTGTGAGTCCTGGCTCTGCCTCGTGTGAGCTGGGCACCCGCCCTCTCCGAGCCTGGGCTCCCAGTCTCTGGATGGGAATGGAGTCCCTGCCTTCCAGGGCTGCGGCGAGGCCCGGACGCCCCCAGTACTGTGGGGCCTTGGTAGGCCTGCCGGCAGAGGGGTGTTGGGCTGCGTCCCCATGAGCTCCAGCTTGCAGGGCCGCGGTCATTCCCTGTTGAAGTCTCTCCTGTTGCTCTCTTCATAGGCGCTCCCCCGCCTCTCGCCTGGGGCAGCTTGGGGTAGTGGCCAGGGCTCATTGTTTTCCAGGGGCTGGTGACTTTTGAAGATGTGGCTGTGTACTTCTCCCTGGAGGAGTGGGAGAGGCTGGATGCAGCTCAGCGGGACCTCTACAAGGAAGTGATGCAGGAGAACTATGGGATCCTGGTGTCCTTGGGTAGGCAGGGGCCTTTTGCCCCCAAGAGGTGTCCTGGTGTGATGGCTGCCAGGGGCTTAGCTGTCTGAGAGGGTGGCTTTGGGAACCTCAGGGTCTTGGAGAAGTGGGTGCTGGAGCCAGCCCACCACCCAGGGAAGCCCTCGGGACCACCCTGGCTTCTGGGCAGGGGCGTGTCCTGGGGACCCACTGTGGCCCAGCAGTGCCATCAGCTAGGTGGACATGTTCTGGGGAGCTGCCAGTCCAGCTGTGCTGCACACTCCCCAGGGGCCTCGGGGGGTGAGGAGTCAGGTGACAGAGGAGAGGGGTGGGCACCCTGCTGAGGAAGGCGTGTGGCGGGGCTTGGCAGAAGAGCTGGGGGCAACAGGGCAAGGCTCTGGAGAGAAGAGAATGTGGCATCCCCAGAACGGAGGCAGGGAGGGGCGGAGGGCTGGTCCTGGGAAGGATGGAGAAGAGGAGGGGACCGAGGAGTGCGTGGGGCTAGCGCTGTGTGGGGCGAGGGCAGGGCCTGCCAGGAGCAGCCCTGTAGCTGGCGGCTGCTTTTCTCCTGGGCAGGATACCCAATCCCCAAGCCAGATCTGATCTTCCGGCTGGAACAAGGAGAAGAACCTTGGGTCCCAGATAGTCCCCGTCCTGAGGAGGGAGACATTGTCACTGGCGTCTACACAGGTGAGCATGAGACAGAATCCCATGGGGTTTCTGCCAGCACAGCTCCTCAGAGACTCTGGCCTTCAGCCTCACTTTCTGATGCGGGCTTGGCTGGTGGTCTGCGTTGTGGGGTGGGCTCTGTGGGGACAGGGCGGCCACCATGGGCTAACCTCTGCCTTTGCGGGTTGGCTCCTCTTGGTTCCAGTCCATGGAGTCCCAAGGGCTAGAAGTCCTTGGAGAACCTAGAGGTTCCTCTTAGGAGCCCTTAGAAATGATCCCTTGTCCCAGTCTTAGGGCCTCTGATTGCTTTTTCTAAGTGAGGGCCCGTTGTTGGCTCAGAGGGCAAGCTGCAGGAGCCGAGCAGGCTGTCGGTCCTGGGAGGGCTCGACCCGGCCTTTCCGGCTCCCAGACTTGAGCCAGTCCTCTGGCTTCTCCACCCATTTGGCCACCTCTGAACAAAGGGTTCCCCTCGGCCTTCTCTCCTGTCGCTGGAAAGCCCAGGGGCAGGCCTCTGGCCTGGGCGGGCAGCTCTGGATCTTTCGGAGAGGCGATTTTGGAGAGATGCATACAGGAGTGTTCAGGGTGGCACATTTCTCTGGAGACCTCAGACCTGGCTCTGTTCCTCCAACTGTGAGCCTCACATTATTCATCTGGAGAATAAAGAATTTGAAGTAATCCGTCATTTCCAACCTGAGGACAGACTGTTGATTCTGTGGAGGTGCTTCCTGGAGGTCTGTGAGCTATTCTCAGTGTTCCAGAAGGTTCAGTGGAGGCCCGCGCACAGTAGGTGTATTTGGCTTTGGGCTGGAGTGATGCCAACCCAGTGAGGGGCACTGGACGTCTTATGCCAGTCACATGTCTGGATAGGTTGGGAACAGTTCACAGATGTGTTTTAAAATAAAAATATGGAAAAACACAGCGCTGTGCCTGTGCGTGTACGCCTCAAAGTACTTTCTCATACGCTTTTTGTTCTCGTAACAACCCTATGAGATAGCGGGAGAGGGATTGTTGGTCTCACCTTGCAGATGAGGAAGTTGACTTTTGAAGTGGAGGTTGAATGACTTGCCTGCGGCGGGCTCAGGCTGCAGGCCTCACTTGCATGCTGTTGCAGGACGGCCTTGCTGCGTGGGGCTCCCCCTTCTCTGGGAGCCTCTTGGAATCTCTCCTGGGCTTCAGCCTCGGGAGGGCTCTGGCTGTCGAGGCTCGTCCAGGATGAGCCTGGGATGCAGGTGACACCTCTCAGATGGTCTTAGTGGGAGGTGTGCACTGTTTATGGGCACATCTCGGAAAAGCCACCTGGAGGTGAAGGGACCACAGGCCGGCTTTGACCAGTCTCTTGTCATGTAGTTAGATGTGCCCCCGTTCTCCATGCTTCTTGGAGGGTCCTAAGGTGGAGCCTCTTGCAGGCTCGAGCCTGAGTGGTCCCTACCACATGGCCTGTGAACCTGCCCGCAGCTTGGCATCTCCTTGAGGGGGCTGGCTGTTGGGCCAGTGCCCTTCTGCCTCCCCTGTGGCCAGTCACTGTGCCAGGGAGGGTGGACCTGGGATGTGGCCCCACCCATCTGTGGAGCCCGAGTGGCTGCAGGATCCAGGCATAGTCTTAGATGTGGTTCCTGTCTGCTGGGAGGGGACAGAGTAGCAGATGCTGCGGTCAGCGCAGGCCGAGCAACTCCGGCTAGGGCTTCCTTCTTAACTGTAACTGTCACCTGTTTGCTCAGTGGTCCCTGCGCTCTGCTCCCTGCATTCGTATCTGTGCAGCTGAGCCAGCTGAGTTGGCTCAACTCCCTCCACCCGGCCAGCTCCTCACTCGGCCCCACCTCCAGCTCTCTGGTCTGCACTCTCCTGCCTCTTCTGACCCCATCTTCTGCCATTTTTCTCCTCAGCCGGCTTAGAGGGCAGGGTCCCTCCCTCCCTCGCCAGTGCCGCCTAGTCACCTGGAAGATCCCTGTCCCCGCCTAACCTCCGTTTTCTGCCCGCTCCCCATCTACACTGGTCCAGGGCACACGGCTGGAGAAGAGCATGCCTGCAGGCTGACCACAGACCCCTGAGGACACCATGGCCACCATGGCCTGGTGGTCTGGCCTTGTTTCCTTGTGGAGTTGGCTTTTCTGCTCTCTGAGATGGGCCCCCAGGACCCCACACACACGCCCGTTTCTCTGCTGCCTTCCTGGCTGCTTCTCCACCTGCCCTCACTTCTTTACAAGCCCAGGACGGTACTGCGTCGTCTCCCATTCTTTCTGTAGGTGACCCAGCTGGTGCCAGGGCTCTAAGTGCCATGTATACTTACGCTGTCCATCCTCAGCTTCTCTTTCCAGCCCTGACCTTGTCTGTCTGACTGTCTGTTTGACACCTCCACTCAGGTATCTCATGGGCATCTCCCAGTGACCCTGAACCTGTAGTGGCACCACTTTTCCTACCCCGGTCCCCTCTTGCAGTGTCCCTGGCACCTGCGTGGGTCTGGCTGCATGCCTGAGTAGTCCTTGTCCCTCTGCCTTCCTTGCCCCACCCCTGTCCCCAGCTGGCACAAGGCTGTCAGGCATGTGGTCGCAGGTGTCCCTGAGCTTCTGGCTGCCTTACCCTCTGGAGGCTTCTTTGTGCGCTTGACACAGTGGGCTGTGTGCCATGGCTGTGAGGCCTGCCGCCCCTCCAGGCTCCACAGACAGCCTCTCCTCAAGCTCTCGTCTGCCTCAGGGTGTTTGTACCTGCTGTTTGCTCTGCCGTCAGTGCCCTTCATGTGGCTGGCTCAGCTCTGAGGTCCCCACCGAGCACTTTGGCTCCAGGATCACGCCCTCCCCCAGTGCTCCGGGACGCTCCCTGCATTCGCAGCCCTCACTGCCCTCTGAGGTGACCCTGCCTAGATATTTGCATCCTCTTGCATCCTTGCTTCCTGCCTGCCTTCTCCAGCACACTCTGTAAGAGCAGGCACTGTGTTTTGTACCCCTGTGCTGTCTCCCAGTGTGGCCTGGCCCCCAGTGGGGACAGCCGGTAACCTCCTCCTTGACTGCTGTGCCTGCCCCTCATGTGAAAGTGAAGGATAGAAGAGAAATACCGTACACGGTTAAACCGGCTTAGATATTACACGGGAAAGGACAGAGAGTCTAAAAAGCAGTGAGAGGCAGAAACACACTCTGGTGAGAGAGTCTGGTTGGCGAGCATCAGCGGTTCTGGAGAGGAAACACTCACAGGAGCAGCTGTGGAGTGGAGGCACCTGGTGCCGGGCACCCTCACGGCGCCCCCCCCCCACCTCCCCTAGCAGGTGGAGGCTGTCACAGCCTGCAGGTGTGTCCACCTCACATGGCCCATGAGTACCTGGGCTGGGCTTGTCTGCCCAGGAGAACTTGGGGGGCCAGGCCTTAGTGTGGGCCTTCCCTTTGCCACACCCCTGAGGGCACCTTGGTGTCACTGAATCGCCCTTTTCCAGTCTGAGCCAGGGACAAGGTGCTTAGGTCCTTGCCTCAGACCCCTCGGCTTGGCGTGGCAGAAGGGGAAGGAGCACTCAAGCAGGGAGCCGGAGTTCCCGAGTGCCGGTGTGAGGGGCCTGATCCGCTTTCAGACGTGATGGGGCTTTGTCTTCAGATCTGCATGTGAGGGATGAGCCAGCGGTTCAAGTGAGGAAGGGCCTGGCCTCGGCTTCCTGTTAGTACCTGTCCTTGGTATTCTGTCTGCATGGCGCAGGTGAGGGGACCGAGGCCAGAGAGGTCACCCTCCAGCCATGGGGGTGGGCCCAGTGCCTGTCCTTGGGAGAGCCCCCTTCCAGATGTGTCACCCCGAGGACTGTGCAGCTGGAAGCTGGATCCCAGCGCAGAGCTGTCGTCTCCCCCGAGCACAGCCTGGGTTCCTGAATTCCTGCTCAGCGGGGAAGAAGGAGCCTGCCTGCAGCTGTGGGCATCCCACCCTTGTCTGCGTCTTTCCTTTGTGAGTGTTCCCGGGGGTGGGGGGGGACTCTCCTCGAGCCTGCCTGAGTCTGTCTGGATGGAGGATCAGGGGCAGGTGGTGACTTTCCTCATGTGACCCACTTCCAGGCCCTGCACTTGTGGACCCGGCCTGGCAGGGGTGGGTTTAGTCAGGACAGACCCACAGCTGACTCCCCGGCCCCCGGCATGTTGGCCTGGGGGCGGGTCTTGGGGGTCCCAAACAGGGGTGGGAGTTGTAGGAAGTGCCCCGCTTCTTAGGGCGGTGTGCACAGGGCATGCTGAGTGGCCCTCAGTCCTCTCAGCAGCTCAGGGACACAGGTGCACCAGGCATGTGGCCTCAGGGCCCTCACCTTCCCCTCAGACCTTTTATTAGTGTCCCAATAGGCCACTTCATGGAGGTCTCTGGGGGCTCTGCTCCAAGGCCACTGGTCGGCCCTCAGCACTGGCCCTAGCTAGTCATCACCCAGGTCAGAGTCCTTGGGAGCCAGTGTCTAGGGAGATGAGGTGCCGGCTCCCACTCCCCAGGGTCCATGTCTGGACTCTCCCCCTGTGGGTTCTGGTAGCGGCGGCCACATGTGAGTCCCTGGGCCGCCTTGAGAAATGTCCTGTCAGAGCGTCCCCCCTGCCCGGCTCTGGTCTTAACAGGTAAACTGTGAATCCTCATGTGGATCCGAAACAGGTTTGGATCTGAGAGCCAGCCAACCCCCTGGGAACCCTGTCCCCACCGCAGCTGGGAGTAACCCTTACACTGGACACCCCAGCTCCAGGGCCCACGCCTCCAGACCCTGGGCCACTTGTGCAGCAGAAGACGAGAGAACAGAGCCTGGCCTCGGGGCAGGCTGGTCTCCCTCTGGGTCCCCTCTGGTGGCCCTGCTGCTTCCGGAGATTTTGTCTCGGGGTGCCCAGGGACCTGGATGCCTTTACTCCCCCTCGCTCGGTGTCAGTGGTGGCCTCCACCGCCTTGCTGTACGTTTAGTATTTTCTCATTCTTGGACAATGGCCGTGCCAGCTCCAGAGCTAATGATGAGGTGCCCCAGGTCCCCTCCCAGGATCGGCCCCCTCTGCAGAGCCCACTGTTGCTCAGAGGCTGGGGGCGGGGGCAGGGCAAGGGCTCACGGCCCCCAGCCAGGGGCTTTCCGTTGCCCTCAGACCCCAAGAAAGAGGTGTTGTGGGGCAGTCATTGGGACCTGTACCCCCCCCCAGCTCTGAGTAGCTGTGGCGGGCCCCCCCGTTTGGTCTGGCTGTCCACCTCTTATCCAGCAAGCGCTCACTGACCCCTGGCTAGCTCCTGGGCACACACTCACCCCATTAAGACATTGTGCTTGTTCCTCAGCTTGAATTCCCCTGCCTTAGGGGGTCTCTAATTAAAACTACTCAAGCCCCCCACCAGAGTCTAGAGGTGAAATCTTTTCTGAGACTCACTGAGAGAACTCCTCGCTGATCTGACCATTGGGCAACACTGCCTGTCCCTCCACCATCCCCACCGCCCTTAGGGGTGCTCCAGCCTGCACAGGAGGAGGAGCTGGGCCTTCTCTGTGCTGTTCCAGGCGCCCCACCGCTTCCTGTCACTCACTCATGGTCGTGGGTGGCATCTGGTGGTAAACTCTGCTTAGTATCAGGAAATTTTGTCTTTCATTTAAAGCTTATTTTTACTATAATATTATAATATTACTAACGAGAAAACAGGAAGATTGCGGAGTATGAAAAATAAAATAACCCGTTTTTGTGTACGATGCATGTTTTTTTCAAGCTGAAATCATGCCTGTGCGGTTCTGTCTGGTCTTGTTCACTCGGCACTGTGCTCTTTTCCCCGTGTGACCGCATCACCATAGGTGTAGGTGTGCCACGCAGAACACCGGACAAGGGCTGAGCCAGGCCAGGCAGCCCCCCCGAGCCCTGGCCTTCCCACGGGGGCAGGACTCAGTGTTGCAGGCTCACCTGCCAGGTGACACTGACACCAGCCACAGCCTTGGCGGAGGACGGGGCCGGGGTGCCAGAGTGGATTCCTACCCCTGTTGCTGGGGCTGAACCTTCCAGATGCTGGGGTTCTGAGGTGGGCACACCTGGGGCAGAGTGTTTGTGAGAAAGCAGACGCGCAGTGCTTTGGAGCAGCTGGGCCGGGCGCGCTCCCTTCTCTTCCGTGTGACTTACTGCCTGCTCCATAAATATTAGTCCCCCCTGGGTGTATTGTGACGGCAGCATATTGGGACGCCATTTTATAAACGGGGAGTTCTCCAGACCCGACTGCAGACCCGTGCTCTGCCCTGGAGGGAGAGGTTGGCTGCAGCTTGGTGGAGGAGGGCCAGGACCGCAGGAGCTCGGGGGTCCTTGGCCTTTTGTGATGGGCAGGTGCTGGCAGCTCAGCCAGCCTTAACCGACTTGGAACTGTTTCCCAGATGCACAGCCACTCAGAGAAAGCCAAGCTTTAGGGCTGCTTAGGAGGGAAGGCTGGCTGTGTGCGCACAGTTGCTGAAGCCTCTTAGGGTGGGTGCAGAGAGCAGGGGTCTCCTAGACCTTTCTGGCCAGGGCAGCCTTCCCTGGTTCTGCTCCCGGGGTGGGAGGGAGACCCCTGGCCGCCAGCCAGCCTGAGGCTGGTGGAGAAGAATCCAGAGGGGATGGGATGCTGAGCAAAGATGAGCTGCTTACAAAGGCAGGTGTCAGCAGCCCGGCGGCAGGAGGTGCTGGTGCTGGAGTCCTGGATGCTTCGGGCCAAGCAGGCCAGGGAGGTGCAGTTCTCTGGGAGACAAGGGGCTTCGGAGAAAACAGCCCAGGCGTCTGTCTGTTTTTCTGGGCACAGGACCCCTGTTCTGGGCTTAGCCCCTGGTTTCACAGGAACCTGGAGGGTCACCCACTTTGTAGAGCGTCCCTGTTCGTGCGGCGAGCCCTGGAGGGAGCTGGGGGTCTGGAAGAGGAATTAGTTAAGGCCGTTGGAAGATAGACAGTAAGAGGTAAAGGAACCTCCGTCTTCCTCGGAGGGACACCACCGTGCGTCTTTCTCCCGTCTGCAAACTTCCTCCTCACTGGGGAAGCGGTGGCTTCACTGCCCCGTGTGTGCTCAGTGCACAGCCTCTCACTTCCGTGGAATGGAGGCGTCCTGGCCGCCACTGGATGGACGCTCCCATCTCATGCGCTTGGGGTCCCGCGGAAGCCGCGGTTCTGGGGGCAGGAACCTGCAGGGATCCTGTCACAGCTTCTTCTCACCTCTTTCTGCCCTTCCTTTGTTGCCTTCAGGGGCCTGGTTCTGGACCGACGACATAGAGGACCACGAGGAGGAAGACGACGAGGACTTCCTGGCGGAGGTGGCTGAGGAGGAGAACGAACCCCCCGGACTGTGGTCCGCGGCGTACGGCGTGGGAGACGTGCCTGGGACGTGGGGCCCGGACGACTCGGATTCAGCGCAGACTCCTGAGGGGTGGGGACCCGACCCCGGCGGCCTCGGGGTCCTGGCGGAGGGGTCCGAGGCCAAGCCGTTCCTGCCTGGCCGGGAGCCGGGCGCGAACCTGCTGGCGCCCTGGGCGTTCCCAGCCGCCCTGGCCGCTCCGGACGGGCGGCCCGAGACCACGTGCGACGTGTGCGGCAAAGTGTTCCCGCACCGGTCCCGGCTGGCCAAGCACCAGCGCTACCACGCGGCCGTCAAGCCCTTCGGCTGCGACGAGTGCGGCAAGGGCTTCGTGTACCGCTCGCACCTGGCCATCCACCAGCGCACGCACACCGGCGAGAAGCCCTTCCCGTGCCCCGACTGCGGCAAGCGCTTCGTCTACAAGTCGCACCTGGTCACGCACCGGCGCATCCACACGGGCGAGCGGCCCTACCGCTGCGCCTTCTGCGGCGCGGGCTTCGGGCGCCGCTCGTACCTGGTCACGCACCAGCGCACGCACACGGGCGAGCGGCCCTACCCGTGCCCGCACTGCGGCCGCAGCTTCAGCCAGAGCTCGGCGCTCGCGCGGCACCAGGCGGTGCACACGGCCGACCGGCCGCACTGCTGCCCCGACTGCGGCCAGGCCTTCCGTCTCCGCGCCGACTTCCAGCGCCACCGGCGCGGCGGCGGCTGCGCGGAGCCCGGCGGCGACGGCCCTCGGCGGGAGCCCTGCGAGCCGGGGCCCGCGGCGGGGCCCGAGGAGGCCGAGGCCGTGCCCGAGGAGCCTGAGGCCAGCGAGGCGGACGGAGAGGCCGAAGCCGAGGCCAGAGAGGCTTCGGCGGCGGCGGAGGAGGCGCCCACCCCCGGGGGCAAGGAGGACCCCGAGCCCGACAGGCGGTTCCTGGAGCTGGGCAACGGCCTGGGGGAGGGCGAAGGCCCTTCTTCGCACCCGCTCGGCTTCCACTTCCCCGCGCACCCTAAGTCTTGGCTCCACCCGGACGGCTTCCCGATCCTGGGCCTCCCGGACTTCGGGGAGCGGCTGCCGGCCGACGGGCGCCCCCTGCCCGGGCCCCTGGGGGCGCGGCTCTCCCTGGTGGAGGGCGCGGGGCTGGCCTGCGACCCTTTCGGCGGCGGCGGCGGCCCGGGGGCGGCGGCGGCCTGCGCGCGTTCGGGCCCGCCGTCGGGGGCTGCTGGCCGAGCCGGCGCCCGCCGCGCTGGCCGAGGAGGAGAGCCCGTGGATCTGCTCCGACTGCGGCAAGACGTTCGGGCGCCGCGCCGCGCTGGCCAAGCACCAGCGCTACCACGCGGGCGAGCGGCCGCACCGCTGCGCCGACTGCGGCAAGAGCTTCGTGTACGGCTCGCACCTGGCGCGCCACCGGCGCACGCACACGGGCGAGCGGCCCTTCCCGTGCCCCGAGTGCGGCGCGCGCTTCGCCCGCGGCTCGCACCTGGCGGCGCACGTGCGCGGCCACACCGGCGAGAAGCCCTTCGTGTGCGGCGTGTGCGGCGCGGGCTTCAGCCGGCGCGCGCACCTGACGGCGCACGGGCGCGCGCACACGGGCGAGCGGCCCTACGCGTGCGGCGAGTGCGGCCGGCGCTTCGGGCAGAGCGCGGCGCTGACGCGGCACCAGTGGGCGCACGCCGAGGAGAAGCCGCACCGCTGCCCCGACTGCGGCAAGGGCTTCGGCCACAGCTCGGACTTCAAGCGGCATCGGCGCACGCACACGGGCGAGAAGCCCTTCCGCTGCAGCGACTGCGGCCGCGGCTTCGCGCAGCGCTCCAACCTGGCCAAGCACCGGCGCGGCCACACGGGCGAGCGGCCCTTCCCGTGCCCCGAGTGCGGCAAGCGCTTCTCGCAGCGCTCGGTGCTCGTGACGCACCAGCGCACGCACACGGGCGAGCGGCCCTACGCCTGCGCCAACTGCGGCCGCCGCTTCTCGCAGAGCTCGCACCTGCTCACCCACATGAAGACGCACCGCGGCGCCGCCGGCGCGCCCGGCTCGGCGGCGCCCGCGGCCCCGGCGCCCAAGGCCGAGGCGCCCGCCAAGGGGCCGCCGGGCGCGGGCGCGGGCTCCGGGCCGGGGGAGCGCGGCAGCACCCTGCTGGAGTTCGCGGGCGGGACGAGCTTCGGCTCCGAGCCGGCGGCTGCGTTCGCGGGGCCCTCGAGCGCCTACGAGGAGAGCATCCTGTGAAGGCCGAGGCGGACGGAGGTGCGGCCCGCTAGGCCGCCGGCCCCTCCCCGGGGCGGCTCGGGCGCCGGCCGCTGCGCGCCCGCCCCTCGCTCCTCTGGCCTCGGGGGCTGAGGGTCCCAGTCCGGTGCGGTGCCTTCCCCTCAGCCCCGGTGCTCGCCCCCTGGCCTCGGGCTTCCCTCCTGCCCGGCGCACGGAGCCGGGCCGCCGAGCTCGTAAGGCCGCGTGGGGGGCGCATGGGGAGAGGAGCGCCGCGCGGAGGCGGCGAGGGCAGGGGACGGCCACCCCGGAAAGACTGCGACATCCCTGGGTCTGTGCTGTGAAGCCAAGCGGTAGGGATGGCAAGCGATGTTATTTATTTTACTCGGAATTCGATTTAGGTGGCCCGGGGGAAAGGTGGCTTATGAGTTTGGAACTGGGTTTTACAGCGAGGGAGGGGAAGCCCTTGCGTCAAGGGGAGGGTGGGGTGGTCGAGGGCAGAGGATCTGGCTGCTCCGGTGGGTTTGGCAGACGACTTCTTTCCATTCCTCAGTGGGAGACTTCAGGGACCTTTTGGTTATTTGAGCATGTCCGGAAAGTTCTAAGTCGTGTGCGCGTGTCGAGGGGATGCCTTGAGGGTTTCCAAAGGCCCGTGTTCCTCCCTAACCCAGAGGGCGGAGAGCTTGCATTCTGTTGGCTGTGGATGTTTATTTCCATCTCGTGTATAGGCTGAAGAATCTGGGAGGAGGAGAAAAACCCAGAAACCAAATTGGTGGCCCCGGGCGGATGGGTTGCAGTTGGAAGGGTCCCGAGGGAGCTTGAAGCCTTATTCTCGGAGTCGCTCACTCCCCGCACCCCACTTGAGCACCGAGGTCAGCCAGGCGCTAGTCACGCCGGTCAATTTGTCTCAGCCTCCCTTTTGAGTCCTTTGGTACCCTGACCTTGGGTAGCGGGAGGTGGCATACTCAGCCTTGGGGACCCCAGCCTTCAACTCCCGGGGCTGCCACCTTTCCAGGAGTAGGTGGACACGTGGGGCTGTGCCCTTCTGAGCCCAGCGCTGTTTAGATTGAATAAGCAATTGTAAAGTGACTGAGGTGGGTAGCAGGATCATTTCTTACATCCCATTAGGGCCTTATGATGTCTGCAGGTCCCTTTAACTCGGCTTCTGTCATTATCCTACACTAGAAGCAAGTAGTGTTTCTGTTAAGATTCCCGTTCCACAGAGCAGGCAGTCTGCACAGTGGGGTCCACCTCGGGGGTGTGGACCTGAGCCCGGGGCTCAATGACAAACCGAACACCCAACTATGCAAGGCCTACACCTGGCCGCACCACATGCTCTGGGCTGGGCCGTGGGGAGCCAGCGGGCAGGCAGCTGGGGCACGGCTCATGCGAGACTCCCCTCCCTTAATGCCCTTTGGGCCATGTGAGTGGGGCCAGAAAACTGAGATTCAGAAGCAGTTGCATTCCCTTCTAGACCTTGTTCCGTCTGTTTTAGCGTAGACATGGCCTTGGGGCCTGAGGCCTTGGCTGCTGGGGCTGGGGGCGGGGTAGGAGGCAGAGTAGTCAAGGGTGGGAAGAGGGCGTGGATGGTGGTGGCAAGGAGGAGGCTGGCTGGGTGAGGTGGCGGGTGGGGTGGGGTGGTGAGGAGGGCAGGGGCCCGGGGGAGGCATCAGCAGTGCTGGGGGATGTCCCCTCTGTCCCTGGTTTGTCTTCTCTCCCTGTGGGACAGGAGCCTCAGAAAGGGCCAAGGGCAAGGTGGGCTAGCCTCGCACGGCCAGGGTCTGGCTCCGTGCCCATCCTCCTGATACGGCCCTCGAGTGCATACCCTCGGGGCCCCTTCTGGGCCCCCCCTGCTACTGCCTTGTGTGAAGCTGTCGGCAGGAGGGCCTAGCTTTAATAAAGAGTGGAGAAATGCGCTTTCTGAGTGGATTCCATGTTGTTGCCGTTCCTCGGTGCCTCGGAGGCTCTGCAAGACCTCAGGCCCATCTGGTTTCCACAAACTTTTTTGTAGGGGTTTCCCTTGACAGAAACTAGCCTTGGCCCATGAGGCGTCAGCTGCAGACGAGCTTTGACCCCCTGCTGTCTGTGTCCACCAAGTCTTTCCAGGAGTCCCCAGGGGCCCCCCCGACTGCCACACATTCCTTGGAACACACACACCTATCTCGGGACGTTACTGTGTTCAGGTTTGTTTTGGCCAGCCTCCCCATGGTCAAAGGAGAGAGCCAGGTCCCCTTCTTTGTGGTCCAGACACTCCTGAGTCACAGACCCCTCCTCAGAGGCCCCACGGCCATATGGGTTTATCCAGGCCCACCTGCTCTGCCAGGGCACCTGCTCCCCATGGCCCCAAACCCCTTCCTCTGGACTGATCCGTTGACTGCTTTCTTCTCACTCCGCTTTGTCCTCGTGACGAGGCCTGACCCTCCCGTCCTTTTCCCATGGATTTGAAAAATGTGAACTATGAAGTAAATTTTCTTTTCAAATGTGATTCGGAGGTATCAGAACAAAACCCAGTCTTTCAGTAGCAGGTGGATGTTAAGATCTAGTTAAAAATGGGTGACCTCAAGGATCGCAAAGTCTCTTCAGAACAGTTAAATGATTCCCCGATAGAGCTCACAGTTGTCCAGCCAAATACTTTGTTTTAGGGGGGAAAATAAAACAACCCTGATGGTCACAGAAATAACGTAGACAGCCTTCCTGGTTTTGAGAGGACTTCGGGATTTCTGGAGTCCTGATTCCGCATGTGTCAGTTTAGCATCTCCCATCATTGCCAAGGAGGAATGGAAGCCCCCAGCGGCCCGTGAGATGTGACCCATGAAAGGTGGTACTTCGAGGACCACGAGCCCCTGAGCACCCCTCGCCTTCACCTACCTTTGCCATTTTCCTGTTTCTCTATTGCTCAAACTTCCCCAAGCTCCTGCCTTTCCTCCAACCCTTTCACTCAATCTCTTCAAACATTTCCCTCTAACTCTCTCTCTCTAATTGGCTACCTATGGAATAAAATATTTTGAAGTTTTGGGTTATATTTATTAAATAAAGCTTTATGATCCTTGTTCATTATTTTTTTCCTGATTATAAAACACACGCTAGTTGTAAGTCCCAACAGTACAAAAATATGTTACACACTTTTCATCTCGTGAGGAGTCAGACCATATGGGGCATCATGGTTGATGCAAATGGTGTGGGAGCACATTTCTTCTACGGAAGTGGAAATGTCTTAAAACCAGGGACATACTTTACATATTCCCTTGCAACTTTGGCAAGCTATTACATTCTTTCTTACCTGACAGAGCTACCTACCTCACTCATTTTAACTGCTCCATCATAGCATTTCATTTTGTGGATGTGCCATAATTTACGCAACTACACCATCAAAGGGTATTGGGTTGTTTCCCAATTCTCACTATTACAAACAGGGCTGCAAAGTAGATTCTTGTACATAGATCTGTGCAGTTATGTAGGTTTTAAATGTATCTATATGAGAGAAAGTCCTAGAAGTGACGTCGCTGGGTCAAAGGGCATGATATTTAAAATTTTGGATATAGCTGAATTGCCATTGAGAAAGGCTAACTCCTGTCCAACAGCACGTTCTCCCGGCGCAGTGGGAAAGTCCTGGTGGTCCACGGCCTCGCCAACACGGGGCATCAACCGTCGTTTGAATCTCTGCTTTGTTCTTCGTTTTGCGGAGAGATGAATGGCTTGCATTTCTCTTATTTCTTTTTAATATGTAAATAGGTTATTTAGAAAACTCATGGCTTTGCTAAGGTATTTCTGTGGCTGTGGCTATAAAATGTTCCCACCCCATCCAAGTTCAGAGCTTCCTTACTTTCTGGTATAACAAGAAGTCCTAGGCTTATCCTGAAAATTTCCTACCCCAAACGTGTAATCAGCCAATTCCCCAAGGAGCCCTGATTCCTTTAGTGGAAAATGACATTTAGGGACTACAATTGGAGTGCGGGGGTGCTCAGTGCTACTAGGTTGATTTCTTTTTCCCCTAAGGAAAAAATAATTTTCCATCTAGAATTCTATATCCAGCCAAGCTATTCCAGTTACGACAACAAATAATGATATTTTTAGACAGGTCAGAATTGAGAAAATTTACCATCCATTAACCACTCTTAAGAGGGATGTCAGAAAATGAAAGAATCAACCAAGAAAGAGGGAGATGCGGGATGTAGGAAATAGTGGGACCCGTCCAGGATGTCCAGGATGATAGCTGTACATCAGTCCGATTTGAGCAAGAGGATGGGCGGCTTCTGGAAGTAGGTCTCTGTGGAATAGAGGGTAACTGGTAGAGCAGAAAATAGGACTGAGGGGCCGACCTGGTGGCGCAGTGGTTAAGTGCGCATGTTCCGCTTCGCCAGCCCAGGGTTTGCTGGTTCGGATCCCGGGTTTGACATTGCACCGCTTGGCACGGCCTGCTGTGGTAGGCGTCCCACATATAAAGTAGAGGAAGATGGGCACGGATGTTAGCTCAGGGCAAGTCTTCCTCAGTGAAAAGAGGAGGCTTGGTGGCGGATATTAGCTCAGGGCTAATCTTCCTCAAGAAAAAAAAAATATGACTGAGAAGTTGGACATGGATGGGCAGAGCCATGGTGAAAGGCAGGTCAGAATGTAAAAAGGGACCTCAGCTAGGAACAGCCAACGTGGACATCTCGGGGCCGTTAAGGCAACTCTTCAGACACGAATTGGGTCCAGGAAGAACCAGGGACTTGCTCCCACCTTGAGACACGGAGTGAATATTGATGCCACTTCCCAGGTCTGATGGCCAAAGTGGCCACTGAGGGGACTTGAGTAGTTTTTGTTTTGTAATTCTTAAAAAAAATTTTTGAAGTTATGTCTTCATTTATATCTTTGACTATCCTGCACATACTTATTTAGGTTCTTGCCAAATTGTTCTATAAACTTGATTTCTATCACTCTTTGATTGGTAAATTTGTTGATTGCTTTTCCTCACATTCGATTTCTTCATATTTTGGGAACTCGCTTTGCAGGCAGGCTCATTTTGAGTAGGAGGGGTTTTGTTTGTTTGTCTTTTGGCCGGTGTTTGGGTTTCATTCTCTCCCTCTGTGCAGGAAGTCCAGCAGATGTTGGTTACCGCCATGGTAACCAAGAGATGTGTTAACAGTCCTCTGTTCCGTGACGATACCAGGCGTGCCGCAGAGCTGGGGAATGAGGCAGCACATGGCTGGGGTGGCCTTTAGTACCTTTCACCCACCTCCTTAGGTCCCCAGCTCCTTGCAATCCTCCGTCCCCAGCAGCAGTTGGGCCACCTTTGTTCCCAGCTCTGTTTCACCCAGCAAGCCTGTCTTGGGTCCTTTTCTCACCAGGAGCCCTTAAACTGTCCTTTCCCCCCCAGAACTGAGCTCCCAGCACCCTTTGCTCACTTCCAGACCCAGAGCCCATGAGGCCTTTGCTTCTCATCACTCACATTGTTTCTGTTCATTTCTGGCCCATAGAGGTGTTCACTTTGCTTTTTGAGCCTGGCTCTGTCTTTTTAATGATCTATTTACAAATTTTAACTTTCACTGCTGTGTGATCCAGGCAAGGGAATACGCTGAAGGCAAACTTGCTATCTCGCCCAGATCGATGTCATTTTCATTACTTCCCTGTAACTTTATTCCCTCTGCCCTCCCTAGTTGTCCACTCTCTATCCATTTTCCCCCTTCTCTTTCTTTAACAGAACCTCTATATTGTTAGAGGTGCTGATCTACATTTCCCAGCCTCCATTGTAGATAGAAGTGTCCAATTAGCAGTAAGGACAACATCATTATGTGGGGCTTCCAGGAAGGCTCTTTAAAAGGGGCTGATTCAGCTGCCACGTACACCTTTTTGCCATTTGACACTTCTTTTTCTTATGCCTACAATGCAGATGTGATGGCTGGAGCTCAGCTGCCATCTTGGGGCAATGAAGTCACTTCAGGATGAAAGCCACATGCTGAGATGGCCTGGCAGAAAAAATAGCAAGAGCCTGGGGACCCCATGAGCAAGACCCAAGGTGGGCTGGGCGGTAGGGACATAGCTAAGGACCTGCCCCAGGAACATCCCAGTTAGGATGACCAGTTGGCCACTTCTGCTGCTGGATTCCAGCTGCTGCTGCTGAAGTAATTTCTCAACTGGCCCTCTGTTTTTGCATCATTCCCTCAAGACTCAAAGTCCAAGGTGGAAGCATCTGATTGGCGGAGCCTGGGTCAGGAGCATGTTTCCCAGCTGCTAGGGACTGGAGAATACCCGGCTCCTCTGGCATCTATAGTGGGACCTGGGTGCTGCCTCCCACAACAAAGGATACCTCCCTAGAGAGTCAAAAACTATGGGTAACATTCGCTGTGCCCCTGTAGTAGCTGATATATCCGGGAACTCTTTGGCTGGGACTCCCTCTCCCTGACCGGTGAGCTGTAGCTCTTGCCCTTTCACTCCCAGGGTGGATTAGGAAGAGACACAGGGTGGGCTCGGGTCTTGGCAGGCATCCCTGTCTTTCTAGGCTCTCATTCTCCATCGTCCAGGCTCTCTCGTGCAAATCTGAGGAGGCCCCTTTCTCTGGTCCTGGCTCTCGGCACCCTGGGCTTTATCTCCACCTCATCTTGGCAGTACCCCGTCCCAAACCTGGACCTTTACAACATCCAGTGCACACAGTGTTGGCTGTAGCCTTCCTTCAAAGACTTCCTTTCCAGATGATCAGCCCATTCTTGGAGGGTCTGGGCCAGGTGTCACCCACCTACTTCTGCCCCTCGGTGCAGGTCAGTTGAGAATCATTCCTGGGACCGGTCATGCCTTCCTGAATCACCATGCCAAGATGCTGATCCTCTTGCCCTGTCCCCTTTAGGGTTTCTTTCCAGGCAGAGATGGCAACATGCAGGACAGCTGACAAAAATGTGGACTTGGTTTATTTCCACCTGTCATGCTCATTCACGGAGCTGGTG